GAGACAGTTCTACAGGTACCCACGGGGCATCATAGAGAAGTGTGACTTCTTCCGGTTAGCAAACAATCTGGCAGATTCCACTATCGATAGTGATCGGGTTTGAATGACATCCCTGGAGGATGATGTAGCTAGTGACATAAGTCATTTGGATTTTAAAATTAATATTATCATATTTTTAATTATTATTTTAATAATTTTTTTCTTTTAATCAATCTTGATACTCACTATTAAGTGAGGTATGTATCGTATTTTTTGTACTATTCTGAAGTTATTTTTTGTTTCTCAAGTATCGAATATATTGTTAAAACAGTTATGTTCAATTTGTAAACAACATTACTGCACAGGGGCAGAATGGTCATTTTTTTCATAAATAGTTACAAAACATTTATTTTTCAACAACACAAACCAAACAACCAACCACTTTATCGCATTAGTTGCTGATCAACAACTTATCTGAATCAGCAACTTATTAATAAGCTGTAGCTGCCAAAATAGACCCTATAAGATCATTCCAAATGAATATTTAAGTACTCAACATCAATTAATAATTATAAATTTGAAGATGAAGAGTTCTTAGAAAAATAATACAATGAAATATTATTATAGAACTAGACGAGAGCACCTAAAAAATAAAAATAAAATTATTTTTATGAGTGAACTTCAAGATTTCATGAAAAAGCTGATTTTATGCGGGATTATGTAATAAGCACTATTAAACAAGTGATAAAATATATACTTAAAAAATCAGAAGGAAAAGTTTTTATAAATAAAAATTAGTTTGTGGTGGAATAAAATGCAATATATAAAATATAAGAAATTTTCTTATAAAAGTTAGTTTAAATGTAAAAACTTAGAAAACTGTGAAAAATATAAGGTGATCCGTAGGACGTCTAAGAGAATAATTTGTGATGCTAAGAATTTTATTTTTAGCAATCTATATAATATATTAGATATTAAATATAGTAAAAATCATATGTATAAATTAGTCAAACAAAGGAAAAAATAAAAAATTTAATTCAAGTAAAATATATTAAAGATGAAAATCAAAAACTATTTTTCTTAGAGGAAAATATCCAACATAGGTGGGTGAGCTACTTTGATAAATTTTTCAATGAAGTTTTTGAAACATAAAATCGACTTTGGTGATCTTAATTTCTTTAATAATAATAACTTTTATTTTTATCATTGCATTAGTAAAAACAAAGTTGAGAAGGCTTTAAAAAAAATCCAAAAATCAATAGGATCTAATGATTTTCAATTGAAGTGTGAAAATATTTAGGAGATTTAAGAGTTTTCCTATTTACAAAACTCTTTAATATTATTTTAAAAACTAAAAGATGTCTGAGAACTGGAGTAAGACAATTTGGTCCCGAATTTTAAAAATAAAAGGGATGCACTAGAGTGTGTAAATTATAGAAGAATTAGGTTAATGTGTCATAATTTGAGATTATGTGAGAGGGTAATTAACAGTTAAGACGTGATACAAAGATTTCTAATAATCAGTTTGGATTTATGCCAGAAACATCTACCATGAAAGTGATACATTTATTGAGAAGTTTAATAGAGAAATACAAAGAAAGTAAGGAGGATCTACAAAAGGTTTTTATTGATTTAGAAAAAACTTAAGATGAGATTCCAAGAGAAGTCCTTTGGAGAGTTTTATAAAAGAAAGATGTTGATGTGACTTATATTTATGTTATTAAAGATATGTATACATAAATGGTTACTTGTGTTCGAACAGAAGGAGGATTGACAATGTATTATCCTATTTCAATTGGATTACATCAAGGATCACCATTAAGCTAATATTATTTTACTTTTGTTATGAATGCTCTTACTAGACATTTATAGGAGGATGTACCTTAGTGTATGTTTTTCGCTGATAATATCCTTCTTGTAGAAAAGACTGGAGAAAGATTTTAGGGAAAACTTGAATTATGGAGGTCTACATCAGAGTCTAAAGGTCTTCATTTGAGAAGATCTAAAACTAAATACATAGAACGTAATTTTAAATAGTAGCTCTAGTAACAAAGTTGTAACTATGGGCGATCAAATCATTAAAAAGTGTGAACGTTTTAGATATCTCGAGTACATTGTTTGAAGTTGTGTTGATATAGATGTGGATGTTATTAATAGAATTCAAGTTGGTTGGTTGAATTGTAGGAATGCATCAGGCCAATTGTGAGACAGAAAAGTTGCGCTTATACTTAAAGGAAAATTTTATAAGATAGTGGAAAGACCTGCAATATTTTATGGCACAGAATGTTGGCTTTTAAAAGAGATGTATAAAACAAAGTTAAGTGTTACAAAGATGAGAATGCTTAGGTGGATGAGTGTCATGACATTTAGAAACAAAACATGAAATTAATCACATTAAACTTCGACCATCTGATGATTGGCTAGCAGAGAAGATGTTTTAGATTCCACTTATGTTAAGAAAAGTGGAGGTAGACCTAAAAAGACTTGGGCAAATTATATAAAAATGATTATATAAAAATGATCTTAATTTAATCTATTAGAATTAAATAGAAATATGACACTCAATAGGACACAATGGAGAAAAAGGTTTCATGTAGCCGACCCTACTTAGTGAGATAAAGGCTTGTTGTTGTTGATGTTGCATTGTTTAAGTTCAATTACATTGTTGAATTCTTTCATAGCCATCTTTAACTTTCATGCTTTTTTAATCAGTTCCTTAATTTTTTTCTCATTACATCCAACAACTAATAATCTTTGCAAGCTAAAAACAAACTGATTTTCATTTATTATTAATTTATTTTTTTGTTATATAGTGCTATTACATTTTATGTTAATGGTAATTTTCATGTGAACAATAAAATAATTGCTCTCTTGAACAACATCTCCACCCTTTCATCCTTTAATTCACATTCAAGTGTATTTTATATATCTACAAAGATTAACGGCCCTAGTGCTGGCCAAATTGAAATGATTCCACTAGTATATGTCATAAGTTGACTTCCATATATATTCCACAAGTCACCCAATCAAATGTTATAATAATGGCAAAATAATAATGCAATTTCATAAGAGGACAACGTATAATATCTAATTTACATGATAATAAAGTTTACTTATGGCTCATTTCCTTAAATTGATCATTCATCTAAAATACTGAAATGGTCTGCATAGGCCTTTTTGTACCTTTCAGGTGATGGCAAAAAATTGACATGAAGCGAAGCCAAAAAAAAATTAAGAAGAGTTCACACGCATGTATATTTTTATAATAACTTTAACATTGATAATCATAATTATGCTAATTATGATGACAATAATAATAATTATTAATTATTAAATAAAAAAATATTTTGTCACAAAAGCTTCTCTTAACCCCTCATTTGGCACCATATAAGATTGCCAATGTAGGTGTTTGAAGTGGTGGCCCTCTATTTTCAAAAATATGAAAAATAAAAAATCCATGGGGGAGTCCAGGCCCCCTTTTTGGACCAGGCGCATTGTAGCCACAATAAAACTCCCTTTTTTTTCCCTCCCTCAGCACTGCTCTTGGCCTCCCCAATGCAACTATTAAATACTCACAAGAAATGCATAAGCTAAATTGACTAATAAACGAAAACAACAGATACTGTGAGATCAATTTTATAACTAAAGAGAGTTCAACTATCCGAACTACTGCCCCTAAAAAAAACAAAAATCACAAGAATAATTCCTCATAAAAATTCTACAATTAGTTTCTCAATAAAAAATAAGTGGTTTTTTTCCCACCTAAAAGTTGGGAGTTTAATATTGAGTGGGTGAGATCAAACTCAAAGCCATCGGCAACAACTCTCAAGGCACTTATCCACCAAACTAATTAGTACTCTAATATGCGAAATTTTTTTAAATTTAAATTTAATAGTTTTAGAATGATGACAATAATATAGATAAAAAATTATGATGATTCATATACAAATCGCACAGCTTATATGTACGTATTTACATATCTAACTTCTATACTTCAATTTTCACATACAAACCACCTTACATATGCACTAGAATGTGTATTCGACCTCCTAATAGTTTAAAAGGTGGTATTTTTAATGTGATGTGAAAGAATTGAGTGCTATAAACTTTAAAAAGTAAAATTTAGGTGTCAGATATGTAAATTCATACGAATTTACTGGCATACATGTAAGGGCAATTTAGTCTCTGCCATCTTAGAGCTATATTTCTTAAAATGTATAAATTTTGGTGAAAAAAATTGCATTTCAAGTTAAATTTTTCATTAAAAAAAACTTGCTTTTGGAACAAATTCATAAGCTTCGAATCCACAAGATAGTTTTAAAGATACTTTTATCCAAAGACAGAGAGACAGATATAGGGAGTAAAAATTGGAAAGAAGCAAAAATGCAACACATGGAAGATGGAATGCAAGGGTCAAAAAGAATTTCAAGACTTTCCAAGAAAAAAAAATCAAGTACTCGAAATTTTCTTATTTTAAACTTTTAATATGTTTAAGATTAAGTAATTAGAATAACTTGAGATATGTTGTCGAATCTTACATGCATGTAAATACATACATATTGGTGTAAAAGCCTTCATATAAAATTTTACATTTTTACCGAAACCTAAATCTTACTATTGCAAAAACACTCAGACCTACACATACATATAATTTAATGTAAGAATAATCCATAAGAAAGAGTGTGCCCACTAAACGACAAAACATGGAAACGGAAATTATACCAACCTGAGGACTAAATTATCAAAAAAGAACTACTATAAATAATTGAGATATTTTCATTTCCCAAAAAAAAATTCAGAAATCTCACCGGAAGAAACAAATCTGTCGACTTCTTTATAATTTTTTTTTGGCTTAAACATGTACTATAAATTGAAAATTGCTATCAGATGAAATAATTTAATATTCAAACATGAGCAAGCGCTAAAATCTATAACGAAATAATATATTTTCTTCATGTCAAAACCTAGACATTGAAAAAAAGAGAGAGAGAGAGAGAGGGTGGGGGAAATTGAGGAGTCACCTTTGAACAAACGAGTCAATAAAGGAATCGGGAGCGCCGGACTTGAATGCCCGGAGAAACGCCCACATATTGCCGATAAACGGCAAACCTAGATTGCCGGGCGGCAGCCGGCGGCGAAGATCGTCGTCGAGCTTCCGCTCATGGAACCACTGATGCACCAACAGCAACGCCCTCCACAACCCTGAGGACGCCACCACAGCGACGACCACACTCGCCGCCGCCATGCGCCACCAATCCGATTCCAATAACCCCATCTTCGATGCCACCTCGCTGCTATCCCTCTATGGAGGCCGATTAGGCATTTATAGAGGAGGGAGGAGTGGGTTTTCCGAAAATTGAAGAGAAGGGAGACGGTTGGGGAGCGTGGGGAGCAGAGAAAAAGTATTACAAAGAAAAAAATTGTTCCGGTTATCATAAGTGCTTTTTGGGGGTAGTATTTATCCAATCCTTTTGTATTTTTTTTTCTTAGGTTTTATTTTGCATGTTTTATTGTATTTTGATGTTTAATATTATTATTAAATTAATAAATAAAATGAATATTTAAGTTATTTTACTCTAAAATAATTTATAAATCACTTATATTTTAAATATAATATTTTAGAGCGTGGTTAAAATTAAAAATATAATTCAAACGTTACATATTTAAAATTAGCATGATTGAAATTTTATATTCAATATTTTGAGTGATTCATACACAAAAACTTCACAATTAAAATATATCAAAAATAAAATAAAAAAAAACATAATTTGACAAGACTAAAATTCTATAAATTAATTATTTGAATAAATTTGAGCTAAACTTAGAATTTATTAAATTCTTTCCTAATAGAATTTATGGGGTTGGAATGAAGATTTTAAGTATAATAAATTAGATGAGAATATTTTGATTCAAATCTAAACAAAAGAAGTTTAAAATATTTTCTAATTTATTTTTATGGAAATTTTACATAGCGGCTAATATATGAATTTTTCTATCTAGCACCTAAAGTTCAATATTTACGGGAAAAACACTAAAATTTAAATACGCATAACGAGCACTTTGTCACCTCTGTCACTTTCTCTGCTTCGACATATTTGAGTCCGTCAGAGTTGATAACTCGACAACGGTGGCAGCGGCACGATGAATTTCCTATTCCATCGGAAGGTCTCTTTAGCTAAAGCCCGCTGCTTTATAACAGCTTCATGGATCATCTCTGTTTTTCTCAGTACTTTTTAGCATCTAGATGTCGTCGGCTTTTCTTATTTATGTGTCATCTTGTCATTCCCCTATTTGAGGAAATCTTCTTCTTGAACCATATAAATGATTTGAAGATGAGAGAAATCGAATAACAAAAGACATACGACAAACAAATAGAAAAACAATACAAAAAGAAAAGAGGTTTATGTATTGGTAATCTTCGTGTGATGGGTCGAGAGTATACGTCCAAATAAGATCGGATTGAAATACCTCGAAACTCTAAATTCACAAACAAAATCCCTACATAAGTCTTAGTAACTAGAAAACCAAAATGAACATTTTTATTCTGGGGTAAAGAGCACTCCTAATGAGTTGTATCCCACTTGGTTAATTACATCTTGGGGAATGCCAAAAAATACTCTCTATAAAAGAGGTTTCTCTTTTATTATCATGGTTCTGGGGAGATAAGTCCACAAATGGTATTTATTTCGTATAAGAAAGTCTCGATGCTTTGAAGTTACGTTGAGCCACTAAGCAGAGAGTGAATCTCTCACATCCTAAATGGGTAGCTGTTTCTATGCATACAAAGCTTGCAAAATAACCATAATCATTTTGACAGGGATATCCTTATGTATCAAAGTACGTCTGGACCGTAAGGGCAGAGAACAAATTGACATATCTCAGACGAATGGCAGTTTATCGGCTTCAGGCCATAAAAACAATATCAACGAAATCAAAGGAGCATATAGGCTCAATAGGGATAATTAAAGGTAGGGAGGATAGTCCTAAGAGGTAGAGGTAGCTAGGTCGGGTACCACAGACCTATTATTCCAAGCTACTAGGACCCTAAGTTTACCTAATTGTGAAAATAGTCGACCCAACAAGACCAGAGATCCTCGTCAGCAATCCTTAAATTATGTCGTTCATAGGAACCTCGGTAGTCATAAGGTCAAAAGAACTAGACTTTGTTCTATGACTATCGGGCGGAGCTCCAATAGGCGGCACTTATATCCGCCAAAGAGGTGAGGATGTCGTAAGAAAGAAAGAGGAGGGGAGGTTCAACTATAAAGTTGGACACTCTTTCTGGGTCAGGGAGACTTCTAGCACTCTAGGTGCACTAGACATATTCTTATGTAAAAAGCTATGTTGGGTCAGTCGGATTGGAGAAGCACGGGGGCTTCTCCTCGAAACATTCAAATATGAAGCAATTATCTACTACAATCATAAACATTAATGTTCTATTAAATGTGATTGGGGATATGTTCATGCATGCACCCATTTTAAAATCCGTCTGAAGGTCATGCATAAAGTGAAAGATAGGTTTTGAAAAGTCCTAAATATTTTAATCCTATATTTGATTTATCTTAATCTTTTATTAGGATTTTTAAAATAAAAAAATTTATATTTTTAGGTTCCTTAATGTGCCTAGATTATATTTTTCAATGAGATCTCATATGCACAAAATTAAATAATAGAAGCATTCCAGGCATTCAAAAGAAAACACTCCAAAATATATAAATGAGGAGACCAAAATGTCGCTGAGTTGGCAACATATCCTAGGAAAGCAGTAAAAGCGACCATAATCCGCATATGCATGCCCGATCCTAAGTCTATACAAGAATGTAAAATTCAGACTTAAGGTACGGGACACGAGCTCCTGGTCCCCGTCACGTGGTTCGGTGCGTTATCAAACGATAAGTGTCCTAACCAGCAACTAAGTGCACGGTGAGTCTCCAGGATCTACCTAGTTAGTGTATATATATATATATATATATAT